TATATAAAATTAAATAAAGAAGTTTGATTTGCAGAATTGAATAATTTCTTATAATCATATAATATTAAAAGTGTGTATATCTATAAACGTGAATTAACAATAAAAAGTAAAGGTTTGTAAAGATATAAAGAAATATAGTAAAAGATGTATAATATTTAAATTTATTTTAATTTAATAATAGATATACTATATAATGAGTAAAGCAAAAAAATGTGGTCATCTTTTATCTGAATTTATAAAAATTTATCCTGAAAAGCCTAATAGTTTCAATCATCTGTACTGATGTATTTACTGTTTTGCTGTACTTGAAGAGGTAGATTCAGATAATCAAAAATTTACAAATAGTACTAAATGTGTTAAATCACATTTAAATCAATGCGAGCATTTTAAAAATACTTATACTTTAGAAGAACAAAAAGAGATTTTAAATCGAGTGAATTCTAAAAGTTCAGAAGTTGTCATAGGTATTTTAATAAAAATTATTTATTTAAAAATATTATTAAATTTAACTAATTTTGTATTTAGCAACTAATGCAAGAAGCTCACTTATAAAACATATCTCAATTTCAAAGAGAAATAAAGTTAAACTATCAGATCAATTTATAGCTCGTAATATGAGTGATCAAGAAAAACAAAACTTTAATGAGCTTTAGTTACGTGCTATAATATCAGCAGGAATGGCATTTCATGCAAGTAAAAATCCTGAAGTGGAGACGACAGCCGTAGCGAAAGTATATACTTAATTTTTATAATTTTAAAACTAAAAAAATTATTACAAATATTTAATAACTAATATTTTTTTAATTTAAACTTAATCTAAATTTATTAACTAATAATATATTTAAACTTTAACTAATTAAAACTAATATTTTATTTAAACTTTGATTTTAAAAAATTTAAAAACTAAAAAAAATAAAAAACTAGCACCTGGAGCAACGCCCGGGTCTATAAACTAGTATAATATAATAATTACAAATTTGTTTTTACTATATTATAGATTAGTATGTGTATCAAAAAGGTAAAAGAAAAATAGTACAAATATAAATTCAGAGTAATATATATTT